GAATTATCTTTGGAGCTCTGCAGAATTTAACAGGTCACAATTACATTATAAGACTCTCTAGACTGAAACAGTATCAATCAATGCCACTCTTTGAAAATTCATATTGGAGATACTGGAGGAAGTCATATTTGTCTTCCTCATCCTCCAAAAAAAAACAAAAACTTCAGTATCCTTAGGAAGCACATTCTCCTCAAGTCAGTAGCAGCTGGTGCAACTCTAGTAAGCCTTTACTAAAATCAGTCCTATGGACACTGACTCCAGTTCTGGTAATCTCACAGTTTAAGATGAGGAAGGTAGGTAACCAGATGATAAGGCCACCAATGTCTAAGGCCTCAGAACTCTCTCCAAATAGAGAAGGAAACTGACATAGCAATTAGTGTGTTTGTCCCTTTCAGCACCTGCTACACTGTCTGAAGCACAAGTTAATTACACCTATGTTGACATACATTTTTGTGACCCTGTTTTGTACAAAGTGTACAAAGTGTGCCTAACTATATGATAGAATCTATAAGGACAAAATCTGTAGAACACTTGCATCCCAATTTGCCTATTGGTTTGTGTGATTGAGGTTTGTTCCTATACACTTGCAAGGAAAAGTAATTATTTACTCCTTTCTAAGTGCATTACATCAACCTTGCGCCTGGTATCATAGTGCCAAACTCTTTGCATTAATAACATCTTGTATACCCCCAGGATGTTGGAGTTTTGGTGTTACAAAGCAGTATCTTCTACTTCCAGCACAAGCTACTGAACCTGAAGAAAGTAATCTCTAGGGACCTCATCACATGCAGCCTTACCAGTGTCATGATTTACCAGCTTCTGTGGTGGCAGTGGAGCAATCTCAACATCCCAGTCAGCAGATGATCCTTCCACATCTCATGTGGGAAAGCGTTACCATGCAGCTGACACATGGAGCAGCTCCATTGTTCCTTATGGAACACAGGGCTGCTTTAGTGTTGGTGGCAAAAGCCTCTTACCACACTGCCACCCCAGTTCACCAACAGATCCCCAATAGAAGTCACCCTACATGGTATGCTAGGTGGCATGGGGCTCCATGGGTGAAGGGACAGAAGTGTATTTTGCCCCATCTGATAAGGTTACATGTTTAGATTTGAGGATATCAGCCTAAGGTTTCAGTCTATTCCAGGGGTCCACAAACCTTTTAAACGGAGGACCAGGTCACAATCCCTCAAACTATTGGAGGGCCGGATTATAATTTGAAAAAAAAAATGAATGAATTCCTATGCATATTGTACAATTTTAACAAATATAAACGTATTAATATTTCAATGGGAAGTGTGGGCCTGCTTTTGGCTGATGAGATAGAGTTGTTGCTTTTGTTGTTGTGTGCTTTCAAGTCATTTCAGACTTAGGTTGACCCTGAGTGAGGGCCGGGTAAATGACCTTGGAGGGCCGTAGTTTGAGGACCCCTGGTCTATTCTGACAAAACCTTTGCCTGGTAATGTCCCTCAGCATGGCTTCATTGGCATCAATGCAGTTAAATTCTATATAGCACTGAACATTTCCTTCTATTGAAGTTTATATTCTTACATCCCTCAGGCCCCTTCCACTCAGCTGTATAAAATCCACATTGAACTGGATTATATGGCAATGTGGGCTCAGATAACCAGTAACCCAGTTCAAAGCCGATATTGTGTATTATCTGCCTTGATATTCTGGGTTATATGGCTGTGTAGAAGGGCCCTCAACTTAACATGCTGCTTGTTTGTGGCATGCCTGTACTTCATATAGTCAAAATTCAGCAGAGCAATGAAAGAGTAAATAGCATCATAAGCATAAATATTTTTGTCCAAGCAATCAACAGCAGATACCTTATTTCAAACTGACTCACCAGCAGAGCCAGGAAACATTGTAGTCTAATATCTTAGACTATGGCCACCATAATTATGCTTGATGTGAAAGCAGTATGCTTTGAATCAACAGCCTCACATATCTACTTGCAAGTAAATTGATTCAAATTAACTGCTTGAAATGGTCTGCTGTGGGTTATTTTTTAATCTTTCCCCATCACCACTATACTGGCAAAATGAGGCCAATGCCTTAGACTGGGAGATTTGTTGAAAAACAGAGTTTAGTCATTGAGACACAGCCTCTCAAAACATATTTTCATATATGATGATAAGCAAAAGGTAAAGGTTTTAAAAGGAACAGAACTTGAAGGTAAATGCAGGGGACTGACAGACAAGATCCAAGCTGATTGCTGTCCCAGCACAACCCAGGCTTGACTGAAATGTATTTTTAAAATAGCCCTACCAAGCCAGGGGTGAATACAGAAAGGAAAAGCAATAGGCTACAGCACTAGGTGGACTTTCACTGACTCCAAGGAGAACTTCACTATATCTCTGGGAACTTCCATCTGCAGTCTCAAGTATCACTACATATATTCGTAGACCACAAACCCAGAAATCATTCATTCCAGAAAAATAAGATGGTAAAATTATTTTATCTCTCAGTATAGCATTTAACACAAAGAATCCAGTAGAAGATCTGAATGTTTCAATCTATAAGTAATCATTTGTATTTTAAAGAATGAGTCACCATTTTGACATTGCATATCTCTAGAAATAAAAGTTTTTCTCTTCTCCTTAAAAAAATATCCAAATACATACTTTAGACCCAGTGCTCTCTTGCTCTTCTAAACTGGATTAGTGCTGTCTGTCAATTATGGCAATACCTCGTAGTTCATAGAGCTTTCTTAGGCAAGGAATATACAGAGGTGGTTTTACTAGTTCCTTTCTCTGAAATATAGCCTCAAGCACCTAGTACGAGGGTTATCCAGAAAGTAAGGTTACAAGGCATGTAGCTCTTGTGAGGAATTTTTGTGGAAAAAGTTAGTATCACTGCCATGTAGCAGGAAGCCAGTGGAAGTGAATGAGCAGTGCCAGTCATAAGTAGGTCATCAACTGGCACTGTGGTGAAGGTTAGAGATGAGCATCCTCATTCTGTTTCCCTCTAAGTGTGAAGTTCGTGCTGTTATACACTACCTGAATGCTAAGGGCATGAACACCGCTGCGATTCATCATGAAATCGTTTTAGTTTATGGAGAGGGCGTAATGTCAAGACAGCATGTGACAAAATGGGTATGTATTATATTGTGAAACTATGAAGAAACTTCTAAAACAAATGTCATGGAATGCTGACAGTGGGCGTCTGTCTCCTTCATAACAATGTGCGTGCGCACACCGCTCATGCAACACAAGAGTTGTTGACTCCATTTGGTTGGGATGTTTTAAGCCACCACTCTCACAACTCCAACCTCACACCCAGTGACTATCATCTGTTTACTAAATTGAAGGAACATCTTGCTGGAAAACACTTTTCCAATGACAATGAGGTGAAAATCAAAATGACAAATTGAAGGAAAAAGGCGGAGAGAAACTTCTATGACACAGGCATCAAAAACTCATCCCACAGATGACAAAATGTATTGAACGGAATGGTGATTATGTGGAAAAATAATGTAATGCCTATACTACAATACATGTAAGTTTTATTAAAATATATTTATTCTTCGTATTTTAAAAATATCTTGTAACCTTATTTTCTGGATAACCCTGATATTTGTTGGCAGGATCTCCCATCCAAGTATGAACTAGGACCAACCCTGCTTGGCTTCACACAACACTCAGTACTGGCAATTTATTGGGGAGTAGGTGTAATATGAGATTCACCTTTAAACTTGCCATCAGATTATTATTTAAAAAGTTAAAATCAAAAATCCAATGCTACTCCTCTTCCCAGAGTGTTGCCCTTGGCAGCTCGGGGTCTCTGACATTGGGAATTCTTTCTCCCTTGGCCTCTTTTAGTCTTGTCAGGATTGCAGGGCATTGGAGTCTCCATTTCCAGGGCCTCCAGTCTTTCTCCCACCCCTGAACATGAACAGTCCGATTTCCTAAAATAATGTCATGCCTTAGCCAAAGAAAACTGAAAACAATATACTCATTTAACAACACTAATAATTTCAAAGTTACTGGCCAGCTAATATCCTAACTGAATCATTCTGGAAAGATTTTGTACTAGAGCCGAAGGAATCCCAAAAACTTCCCTTGCTGACATTAATCTTTATTTTTGGATCTTAGTGGGGCCCAGGGTTAGGGAAGGGAAGGGTTCAAAATCAACAAAACCAGGAAGAACCTTCCTGTCAATCTATACGGAAAAACTTCACTCACCAGAAAAAACTGCATTCACACACATGCCTCGAAGCAAGCCTTTCTAAACAGTGTCAGCTTGTGGTTCCCATGTTAGCAGGGTGATGAATCTATACTTAGCCTGAACTTCAATGAAGCCATTTGATGGTATGAACCCTATCCCCCCCCCCCCCCCCCCAAAAAAAAAAATCAGCACCTTGAATTTAGAATTTTAAGATTGGGTTTGAATTTGAAACTGTTTCAAAAAGTCTTGATATTCAGTGGCAATGCCTATGAACAACTGCATATGAAGTATATCCATAATGCAGTCCAAAAAAAGTAATTAAACAGTTATTCCTGTGGGCATCAAGCTATGCAATAGTTCAGTGATCTTAAATATGGAATGAAAACTCTTTTGATAATTTTAGGCTTATATCTACAAGATAGAAGTAGACCAAGGAACACCAGGAGGCTTAACCTCTTCCTGTCTTTGATAAAAACAACACTGCAGCAATCAAGGCCTTCCATCAGGAAGAAAAGGAATTCCCGCTGCAATGTTTGCCTTCCCTCTGCATTCTCTTTTCTTTTCAATCATAACTATTAGATTGTGAGGCTGTTGGCAGATACTTTGACTTCTAATATTGGCAGAATATCTGCTTAAAAATAGGAGATACTTTAAAGGGTATTTTTAAAGTTAAAATTAAAACACATCTAACAAGCAGAATACAGAAAACAGCTTTTAGCCATGCAAAGAAATCCCAGCATGGAAGGATGATGATACAATTTTAATCACTAGCTAAAAGTACTTCAGAAGACTCCAAATATGTAGCCCCAGAACCCACCCTGACTTACCGTTGTGGAGAATCTGGGTCAAAGCAAGTCTTTCTTACATTGGTTACTTTGGGATTACAACAGTCTCCATCATCAAAGTTGTGGAACATATTGTTGCATTCCATGTTGCAAACCCCATCCCGTCGCTGCCAAGAATAGCAGCGCCCCGGCCGACGGCAGTCTCCACCATCATAACCAGTCAGAGGGTGCTTGCATTCTGGGTTACAAAACTCATTGGCAATCTTGCCAGGGTCACAATTCATCAGGACCACACGGTGGCGGAGCAAAGAACTGCGCACTTTGTGCACATGCAGTTGCCAAGTGATATTATAATGGCCAAATGCCTCACTGAGTACTCGGTGTTGGTGGGCAATCTGCTCCTGGCTGACGGTAGGATGGAGACCATCATCATCATAAATGTTAACAACACGGTAACGTACTACCTTCTCATTCCTCAGTGGCCAGTGGTTGTTGTAGTGAGAGATCAGCTCCACATTATCACAGGCAGTCTGCCCACACAGTGGGGGTGTTAGTGGTGACAAAACCGGGGGCTCTAGAAGGTGAAATGACTCCACGAGGGGATATGCCCCATTCTGGAAGTGTACCCACTGTTGCTCCAAGTGACTGAACCTCACATTGAGCAATATGGCAGCTTCAGACTCTTCAGCCTTTCTCAGAAAGGCCCTCTGGAGCTTTTCCTGGGGTAGAGAAATACTCCAAAGGGTTAACGATGTGAGGTGGCCACGGAAGTTATGCCCACCTGAATTGTCACCGCCCAGAATCAAGGTGCGACAAGAAGCCATGAAGCGACTGTGAAGGTCACCCCACTGCTGGGTGCTACGAGCCACCCGCTCTCCATTCAGGTAGAGCAACATCTGGTGCCCATCATAAGTGGCAGCCACATGAACCCATGCATTGAGCTGGTAGCGATGGTATGCCAATATGGTGGAGGCCTTCTTGATGCGGTCTGTCCGGAGTGAAAAGAAGAAGCGAGCATTCTTTTTCCTAGGCTCCTGGGCAGTGATTCCCAACGTCCATCCCCTGTCACTGGTAATGTGGGAACAATTGTCAAACACACCTGAAAAGAAGGAGTAAAAGAGAGAGAGAGAAGGGGAAAATATACAGTAATGCAATGCTAGTAGAAAGATGACAACATCCCCCTCCTCAACAAAGCACACACTTAAAGTGAACTCACAAACATTTAGACTGGCAGTAAACTAAGCAGAACTTTCCTCAAATAATCCTGAAAATTAGAATTTTGTAAACATGTTGAGAGGTCAAACTGCATATTGCAATAATTCTATAAAACTGAGTTGCCCCTCTGTTTTTTACTTTCTCACAAGAAAGTATACAGTCAGCCATTTTACCTCAGGACAACTGTGGAGAAAGCAGGGAGGTCTGAACAGTCCCTTCTCAGTTGAGTTCCTCTTTACTAACATTTCTGGCACACACAAATACACACCATACAGATACAGATTTGGGCAAGGGAAGAAGTGTCCTTTTGGGGTTAAGAACAACATAGTAAGGGTAAAATTTAAAGCTCATATTTCTGCTCACTCTGATCATAATCCAGATCAGAACTCATGCTTATTCAGAAGTAGAGGGACAACAAGTGCAGTCAGCAATGTTAACAGGATATGGAGTCTGGCATTTCAGAGGTCAAGAAACCTTCATAGCAGGGGACAACACCTCACAGGATTTCTGGTGAAGAAATCATGACAGAAACAACTTATGGAACTCACTGAAACGTGTCTTCTTAAACTTTGGCAGCCTGTTTACTTTGGCCTGAGAGATTCACTGGCCATACAGAAGCTAGGGTCAATTCACTCAAAAACCTACACAGAATTATCAAACCATTGTTCCGGTGCCATTCAGGAATAGACAATTAAAGCATTACTGAAAGATGCTCATGCAAACTCTGTTTAAAAACCCCTAAGATGGAGTGTCTACTGTCCTCCAAGACAGCCTGTTCTACTGTGAAACAATTGTTACAGTAAAAATGTTCTTCCAAATTTTTAGGTGGAATCTCTTTTCTTGCCATTTGGATCCATGGATTCATTTTATAGTCTTGAGAACAGCAGAAAACAAAACTTGTTCCTTCCTCCACATGACAGCCCTTCAGATATTGACAATATGTTATGTCTCAGCCTTCTCTTCTCCATGTTAAACATACCCAGCACCTTAAGTCATTCCTTGTAAGGCTTTGTTTCTAGAACTTCTATCATTTTGATCATTCCTCCCTGAATGTGTTATAAGTTGTTGATACCTTTCTTGAACTGTGATGCCCAAAACTGGGCACAATATTCCAAGTGAGGTCTGACTAAAGCAGAACAGAGTTGCACTACTACTTCTCTTAGTGTGGACATTATGTTCTTTTTTATTCAACCCAGAAGCTCCTTGCCCCCCCCCCTTTTTTTTTTTGGATGCCACATTAAACTGTTGGGTCATGTTTCACTTGTAACCTACTAAGACCCCTTGATCCTTTTCACATCTATTGGCTTCGTGCCAGGTGTCCCCCATCCTATACAGCTGTATTTCATTTTTCCTGCCTAAACATTTATTCCAGTTCTCCAATCTGTCAAGGCCATTTAAAACTAGCTACTCCCCCTCTCACTAGGTGTGTTGATACTGCAAATTTATTGCAGTTTGACATCACTTTAACTGCAATGGCTCAATGCTATGGAATCTTAGAAGTTGTCATTTTGCAAGGTCTTTCGACTTCTCTGTCAAAGAGTGCTGGCTCCTCACCAACCTACACCTCCCAGGATTCCATAGCTTTAGGCCAGACAATTAAAGTGTTATCAAACTACATTTATAGTGTTGTTACACCCTTAGTGGAATCTGCAACTTGAATAATCCTGCCTTTTATACCATCATTTGGGTTTATCAAAAAATGCTACATTCACAACACTCTCCTGATCTATCATGCTATATATCTCGTTTTTAAACAGAAAGAAGCTTAATTTGGTATGACTTAATTTTGAGAAATCCTGGCTGTTAGTAATCCTAGCATTCCTTTCTAATATACACAGTGTGCATGTCTTAAAGTTGCCTGCCAATTTATGGTGTCTCTGTGAATTTCACAGGATTTTCTTAGGTAAGGAATACACAGAAGCAGTTTTGCCAGTTTCTTCCTCTGAAATATAGCCCACAGTACCTGGTATTAATTGGTGGTCTCCCATCCAAGTACTAAACAGGTTTCACCTGCTTAGTTTCCAAAACAGATAGGATCTGGTCTTTAGGGCATTTAGGCTAAGCACAGACTGGTTGTTTAATTATCTGTTGTAGAACTTTTCTTGTTATTGACTTCAAGCTAATTTATATTTGCTCTTGTCCTCTTTAAAGATAGCAACATTGTTTGCTGTCTTCCAGTCTCTATGAGTTCTCAAAAGATTGAGAGTAGTTCTGAGATTCCACCTGCAAGTTCCTTTAGTACTTTTGGATACAGCTCATCTAGCCCTGTAGAGTCCAATTCATTTACAGTAGCTAAATATTACTTTACAATTTGTTTAGCCATCATGAGCCATAGTCACTTTTTGCATGATCTTTTTCTATTTTCACCAGCTAGAACACCATTTTTCTTTTGGGAGAAGACTGAGGCAAATAAGATGTTACACTGGGTTGCTGTGAGTTTTTCAGCCTGTATGGTATGTTCTAGTAGCCCCAAAATATTTTTTTTCCATAATCTGGTTCCAGACATGCACTTGATTGAAAGGAAATACTCCTGACCAATGACTTACGCTGAAACAGAACACTGTCTCCTCAGAAAATAGCTCTCTTAGATTTAGGACTGGGAGATAGCCATATACTCCAGTACAGACACAGCAAACATTACTGAGTCACAATTGCAATAGCTGGAAAAGAACAATCCAAATGCAATCGAGGTACTTCTCTGTGGACAAATGCACTGGATTCCTAAAAGACTTTTGTCACCATTTATTTAACCCAGACTCCATTGTGGTCATTCTTCACCTGACCTTGTGAAGAGGTTGTTACTAGACTGGGCCACTGAAGAGACAGAAACTGCTCCATATTCTGCGCAGCCTGTGCTGGGATGACAGCCTCTTGTCATGCTGCATTGGGAATTAGAACCTGCATTGCCAAGGCATGCTGACCATTGTGTTCCCAACCAGAGGAGCTATCCAGAGAATTGGTGCTGAATGAGTAAAGAAGCCCCCAGAGAAGTATCACAACAGAGGGCTCAAGCCAGCCACTGCTGCCTATATTTCTTCTGACAGCCTTTATTTTTTCCTCTTCAGCAGAACTGTTTGATTATTTGCTGGAAGAAGTGGGTATATCCTGAAAATGTGCAGAATCACACATTCTGAACTAGGATACATATATATTGCAGATTAAGTACCTGAATGCATTTTGCAGAGAGCCAACACGGTGTAGTGTTTGAATGCTAGACTCTCTGGAGACCAGTTTTTGAATCCTCACTCATCCATGGAAATCCGTGGAGTGGTCTGGACAATTCATACTCTGTCAGTCTCAGAGGAACTTGATGGCAAATTCCCTCTGAACAAATCTTGCTAAGAACCAGCTCTCAAATTTCCTTGATCTTAGTGCTTGCACCAGTTCATAGAAATAGATGTGGTCATGAAGATAAATAAGCAGAACCCAAACTGTTTGGGCTTTAGAGGTAATAACCTGCACTTTGAATTGGGCCTGGAAACTTATTAGCAGCCAGTGGAGCTGCTTCATTAGAGGTATCGTCTGCTCCCTGTAACTAGCTCCAGTTAGCAACCTGGCTGCCGACCTTTGCACTAGTTGCAATTTCTGGGCCGTCTTCAAAGGCAGCCCATGTAGAGTGCATTATAGTAATCCTATCTAGGTGTGGACCACTGTGTCCAAGTCAGGCTTCTCGGGGTAGGATCACAAGTTTTAACTGTGCAAATGCTCTTTAACACTGATTTTCTAGTTGAACCAAAAACTCCTTTATGAATGCACCCATTTAAGTGGTATTGAGAGCAACTACTCATGTAGAATCAGGAACCTACTGAGAGTACCTACCTAGTTAAAGAAAAAGAGTACTGGAAACTCAAAGGGAGAGGAGTTAAGAATAAATGATTGGTTTTGTTTCTATCAATTACATGATAGATTTATGAAAGATGAGAGAGTAGGGTTTTCAACTCCCCTACTTATCTCTGTAGCCAGGAAGATTGAAATTTATTCATATTCTCCATACAATAGGGTACTTGCATCAGTGAAAGGAGTGAATGAAACTTATTTACCAAGTTCCCGATTCCAGACACCATCACAGTAATCAACCAGAAGCTCCCAGAAGACATCACAGCTCTGTTTCACCATTCCCTCACCACAAACTGCTTTCAATGGGACAATGAATTCTATGAACAGAAAGATGGAGTGGCCATGGGCCTAGTCATAGCAAATGTCTACATGGAACACTTTGAAAAACAAGTCCTGGAAACAGTAACAAAAAAAAGCCCACTACTTGGTTCAGATATGTGGATAACACTTTCACCATTTGGAGTCATGGAGAAGAAGACCTAAACAAGTTCCTGGATCACCTGAACAGCATCCACCCAAACATCCAATTCACCATGGAAAAAGAAAATGAAGGAAAACTGCAATTTCTAGATGTCCCAGTCTTCCGCAAATCAGATCAACAGTTGAGTCACACAGTTTATAGAAAACCTACACTCACAGATAGATATCTACATAAAAACTCCAACCATCACCCACGTCAAAAAAGAAGCACCATTAAAGCCTTGGCAGACAGTGCAAAAAGAATGTGCAAACCCCACCCCCTCCAAAACGAACTTAACCTCCTAAATTGGGCTTTACAGGCCAATGGATACTCCACCAGAGACATCAGAAGAGCTGCAAGACCGAGAACAAGCCACAAGAGTAAAGACAAAGACCCACCCAGAGGAAAAGTGTTCTTGCCATACATCAAGGGAACCACTGACCACATAGGGAAATTGATGAGGAAAAAACAGCCTACAAACAATCTAAAGACACACTAAGAAAATCCAACAAATGTTACGTTCAGCAAAGGACAAGAGGGATCCTCTCACCTCTGCAGGAGTCTACCGTATACCATTCAGCTGTGGG